ATTCTCATTATTACTATTATTATTATTTTCTCTTATTAAACTGTCTTTATCTCAGTCCTCGGCTCTAACCTTTTATTTTCTTTCCGATTCTCTCCCCCATCCCACTGAGGGAGGGGGGGGAGTGAGCGAGCAGCTGCGTGGTGCTGAGTTGCCAGCCGGGTTAAACCACGACAAAAGTACAGTGAACATTTCTGATGTAAAGAAAAAATAGAAGAGAATTTATGGGCTGTCTCAAGGTCCAGCATAGGATGTGGGCCTGAAAAATCGCTGCTAGCAGACCTCACGCCGGCTCGGCAGGCTGATTGCAATTCTGGTGAATTCAGTCGACAGGAGGCTTCGCTCGAGGCGATTGCTCTGCTGCTGACTCACCTCGAAGGGGCAGCGAAACACGTCCGCTGTGCGCGAGGGCTCCTGTGTGCCAGCGCAAAGCAGCGTTTTGCAAAGCAGCGTGAGACAAATGGCTCATGGATGTAATACCGCAGCCCGGGGCCGGGCGAACACGATAGCGTAAGCACAGATCGGCACAGGCACCTGTAAAGCCATACTTTGCTTTAAAGTCACTCCTTGCTAATATTCCCTGTTCCAGAAGGTTTCTGTTCCCCAGCACTGGGACCACTGGCCGTATGCTCTTCTGTGGGTGACTCTGCATCGCCCTTTCAAATGCTGTGAACGGGATAAAAATACGCAGAATGCAAAATCATCTGTTTGGAGCAATTGGAGTTTACATCCCTGGGCTACCTTTTAGAATCATAGAATCATAGAATGTTTAGGGTTGGAAGGGACCACTAGTGGTCATCTAGTCCAACCCCCCTGCAGTGAGCAGGGACACCACTAACTAGATCAGGTTGCTCAGAGCCCCATCCAACCTGGCCTTGAATGTTCCCAGGGATGGGGCCTCCACCCCCTCTCTGGGCAACCTGTTCCAGTGTTTCACCACCCTCATTGTAAAAAATTTCTTCCTTACCTCTAGCCTGAACCTACCCTGTTCTAGTTTAAAACCATTTCCCCTTGTCCTAACACAGCTGGCCCTACTAAAAAGACGTTCCCCATCTTTCCTATAGGCCCCCTTTAGGTACTGGAAGGCCAGGCTTTGAATGCAGGTGGAAGCAGGATTGAAGTGACCCTTGAGGCTGCCCTTTAGCGAGTCCTGCTGGTTTGTATTTTGTTAAGTCCTTTTGACCATTAACAAACAGGAGAGCTCGGTCACGCTGCATTAGAAGGAGAGCTGAAACCTGGCCAAAGCCTTCCAGTTTCATGTTTAATCCACTCGACAGCATCGTCCCTTTGTCTGGGGATTATTTATTGTGTTTACTCCCTCCTTAGCCAAAGCTTGTGCAATTATTTAGTTTTTTTCTATCAGGCTCACCAGTCCTTGGTACTTTGTTGCTCCTCCAAACAAGCACAAAATGGCCAATAGCTCTTTGAAAACATGTCGTGTCCCCCTCCCCCCCCCAATATTTCTAGTTTTAATGTAGAAGGAGATAGAATATTGGTTTATAACATCAAATAATGCTATCTCACCACTAAGCAGGGAGAAGAACAAACAGCAATTATTAAAATTTAACATGTATGAAGAGATGCATAGCCCATAAGGAAACAGAAGGTTGACAGACTAAATGGTTTCCTAGAAAAAAAGGTGTTTATAAATAACCCACTCTCTTTTTATATCAAATTAAAGGTTTAGGGGTAAGGCAGCTCTCATTCTGTCCTTTAGGCAATTGTAGCAGTCAGCCCTTGATGTCTGAGCGTGCGGTGTCAGTGCAGGGGGGGTGTTTCCGCTGCCAGCCCTGCCTC